CTAGAGTCAAATTATACCTTTTGATTTTGTGATAAAAGGTTAAACTATTATTGATTGTTGGTAATTTGCAAGTATGGAGACCAGGGTGGGATGGGTCGAGGAAACCTGTCTCTTAGTGAGGCTAAGACTCTTGAGAGCAGCTGGGAGATACAGGAAATGATGTCTTAACCACTAGAGGGCATTTTGCTACACTCCCTGTGCCTTCATAATCAATCAAAACCGTGACCATGGAATTTTAAGCCTGATCGGAGGGCAAGTGGGCATCAAAAGTAAAACTGTCATGACTATTGGAAGGAACAAGAATCTCACCTTCTAGAGAAAGAAAATCTTTCTCCAGAGAAGTCTACTGAACACATTTGAAACAAAAGGTGAAGTCCTGTTTAAAATTCATGTATTTTCATTACATATAGATCTCTGGTGGCCTAGTGGCAAGAAGCTGCGCTGCAATCCTGAAGGCATGTGGGTTCAAGGCCACCAACTGCTCTGTGGGAGAAAGATGGACAGTCTCTTCCTGTGTGATTAACTGCCCCCGAAAACCTCCCGGAGTGTCAGCTATGGGTTGGTTCTGATTCAGCAGTTGACGACGATGACAACAAGAAGAAGAAGTGATCAACTGTTTAATGTCAGTGATCTATAAAAATTAAACACTGTGTGAAAATACTAACAGAATTTGATACACCTCAATCCAAATTCTCTGAACAATTTCCTAAAACTACGACTAAAATACAGTAAAGCCATGAGAATATGTTGTTGTTAGGTGCCAGTGAGTCAGTTGTCTCACGGTGATCCTACACCTTAGGTACAACAGAATGAAGCACAGTATGGTCCTGATCATTTCTGTAAGCACTTAGTCAATCTTTTCACCGACGGTTTTCTTCTTTCGTGCAGACCCTCTACCAATCATGACAAATTAAAAAATGCTTACAAATCTCTCTTCTTGACCAGCTGTAGGGTTAACAAAGTTGTTCTGTGTGAATTATCATCTTCTCTTCCTCTATAATTGCTTTTATCAGTCACTTAGTCTCCTCTCCTGAATGATCATCAACACTGGGCCTCACACAACAAGGAAAAACCAGCACCAAACACGGAGGCCCACACAGTGGAGGCTGCTCAGGCTGCGGATGATGGGGTGGGGCCTCCCACTGCCAGCCGTGTCCCAGCTGCATGTGCACTTTACTGGTCATCTTTGTGCTTTTACCAAACATCTAGTGATTCCAAGTATTACCGCATTTGGAATATATGTCAAGACTGTGTAAGGCATCACTATAAAATACAGTATATGACCTGCCTCACAAACTTTGGGTATGTTGCTAAGAGAGGCTATTCCTTGGAGAAAAACATCATGTTTGGAAAGGTGATGGGACAGCAGAATAGAGGAAGACCCTTGACCAAATGGATTGACATCGGGACTGTGACAAGGAGTTTGAATATGGAAGAGATTGTGAGGATGGCACAGGATAGGACAGAGTTCAGATCTGTTTGTTCATAGGGTCGCTATGAGTCATACTCAACTTAATGGCACCTAACAACAATAGTAACATGATTTATAAACTTTCATTCAACAGAAAAAAAAAGAAAGACTGTAGTGAGTTTGGAGGACGTGAACGTCAATTTTTTCCTTTGTAAGCAACACTTGAGACACATAACGGAGATCAGTACAAGTGTTAAGTGTTATAACATATTACTGCAAATTTAGTGATTTAAAACCATCCAAGCTCACTCTCTAACAGTTCTGTAGTTCAGAGGTTAACACAGTCTCCCAGTGCTACAAACACTGGGCTGTGTTACTTGCTGGGGCCTCCAGAGAAGAATCCCACTTCTTGTCTCTCTACTCTTCTAGAGACTGTTCACATTACTTTATATTTGAGCCCTTTCCTTTATCTTGTTGTTGTTGGGTACTGTCCAGAGAGAGCTGATTTGCCAGAGGGATTTCAGACAGTAAACCTCACGGAGGAGACTGTCCATCCTTCTTCCACGTCCTCTTTTAGAAGCCAGTAGCTGTAGGTCTGTCCATCTGCCATCACATCATCACCTTTTCTTGCACAGCTGCTTTTCCTTCTCTCTTCCACCTTGTAAGATTTACTTTGGTAAAACATGTGTAACATAAAATTTGTCATTGTAACCATTTTAAACACAAAATTCAGTGTTAGTTACACTCCCAATCATGGATGTACAACCTCACTACTATATACAAACTTTCCCCTCATTCCACACTGCAACTCAGTACATAGTTACTCCTCATTCCTAGCCCTTTGGTGAATTCTAAGCTACTTTGAGGGAGTTCTGGTGGCTTAGTGGTTAAGGGCTTGTGCTGCCAATCCAAAGCAAACAATTCAAATCCACCGGCTGCTCCCAAGGAGAAAGAGTGGCAATCTCCTCCAGTGCAATTTATTGCTTCAGAAAACCCTCTGGAAGGTCAGCTATGACTCAGTTCTGATTTGATGGCACATAACAATGTTAACAACAGCAATAATCTACTTGTAGTCTACGCGGTTGCTTATTCTCCATATTCCATGTGGGAGAGATCATAACAGGATGTCTGTCATTCCATTCTGACTTATTTTACAGCATTATGTCCTCCAGGTTCATCCATGTTGCCAATATATACCACGATCTCACATATCTTTCTGGCTGAGGAATGTTACACTGCATGCATCTACCATATTTTGTTTATCATCCTTAGTTACTGTCTGGCTCTCAGATGCAGAGCAAGTAATTGCAAAGACCATGGCCTGGATCAGGCACACCTTAGTCTACAGACTCAGATCATTGTTCTTCAGTACTCAAGACAGGTCCCTGCCAGCAGACTTTCCCAGTGTAATTTATCTTTTGATTTCCTGACTGCTGGTGCCAAGAGTGTTGACTGTGGAACCTAGCAAGCAAAAGTTATCAATAACCTCAATTTCTTCTCTGTCCACCATGAAGTGTTGATCAGCCCAGTGATGAGAACTTTGTTTTCTCGAAGTGGAGCTTCAACCATATTGAAGTCTACAGTCTTTGACCTTCTGCAGCAAATGCTTCATGTCCTCTTCAGTTTCAGCAAGCAAGGTTGTGTCACCTACATAACACAGGTTGTTGATGAATTCCTCCAATCCTGATGTCACATTCTTTCTCATAGAGTCCAGCCTCCTCAATGATCTGTTCTGCATATAGAATGAAAAGATCCGGTGATAAGATGCATCCTTGATGCACACCTTTCCTGTTCTTGAACCATGTAATGTTTCCTTGCTCTGGTTTCACATGAGCACAATTAGGTGTTCTGGGATTCCCATTCTTCTCAAGGTTAGCCACAATTTGTTGTGATCCACACAGTCAAATGCATAGTCAATGAAATACTGATAGACATTCCTCTGGTACACACAGCTTACATCCAAGATCTATCTAATGTTGGCTATGATGTCCCTCGTGCTACAGCCTCTTCTAAACCCAGCCTGCACATCTAGCAGTTCTCTGCAGATGTACTGTTCTAGTAATTTCTGGATAATTTTTAGCAGGATGTTGCTTGTGTGTGATATTAGTGGTTTTACTTTTTTTAGTCATTCTTTTAACATATACTAATACTTCACTCTGTGGCTCAATTTTCAGTTTAATAATAGAACTACATGGGGGATCAATAATGTCCGAGAGGTACTCACTCCTTACCATTCCAGCTACAAAAAGTCAAAAGTGAAACAATGAACAAATGAAGAAACCCAGAGGCAGGATGGGGTGGGAGGGAGGGACTGGGAAAGGTATGTTTACATTTTGGATATTTTATTTGCTTTTATAAAGCAAAATGTGTATGAATGGCTGAAAAAAAGGTTCATTTTCTTGTAAAATTCAAGAAAAAACACTTAGAAAAACAAAACAAAGCAAGCAAGCAAAACCAAATGAATTTAGATGCTTTTATTAAGTGGAAATGGATTCTGAAATTTGGTTTGTTTTTTGTTAGGAAACAACTGTATCACTGTGCATGAGTATTAAGTAAACTGGGACTTTGGGGATTGTTACTCATTTTTCCTGTGATTTAACAAAAGAACTTCATGGTGAACTTGTAGAAGACCCCACATTAACAGGGGCTATCAGGTAACTTCAGGGATGGGACATGGGGACACAATTTGAACACATGCTGTCGCCAACAATTACTCTCAGGTAGAACATTTTTTCTAAAAAATGGTGATTTATTTTGTTTTAACATACAATGGTAAATATGTTGGGGATCATCAAGTTTTTTTAAAAAAGTTTTTCTGGCTTATTTCACACATTATAATTCTAATGTAAGCTCATTAGTTCTTTCAGTGTAGGGAAGGGATCCAACTGGTGCCTGCGAGCAGTTTGGCTAAGAATGGACATTAGAATCGACAACATATTCTAAGTATAAAGTACTTTTCTCCAAATGTGCACAGAAATTTAGAAAAAAAATCACTGTCTGCTCCACAGGACAGACAACTAGAATTTTTCAAATGTTTCAGGTCCAGGAAGAGCACACCCTGTGCAACAATATTTATAATACAGCTCAACAATATTTTATCAAAGCTTGTGAATTTAAGATTTAAAAAAATATATGAAGGAAAAAGAACCCCACACAACAGTAGCCAAGGAACTGCACAACCAAAAAAAAAAGTAAAAGAAAATCATATAAAATATTTTTCACCACTATTTAAATGCCAAATTTAATCAAGCTATAGTAAAAAAAAAACAAAACAACAACAAACAAACCCCAAAACAACATAATAATACAACCTTCTGTTTAAAATAACAGCACTGTTTCCCTCATTTCCACTGAATTTTACATATGAACAGACTATATATACTGCTTTTTCTGAGAAATGTCCATTTGGTCTGCCACACCCATCAGGCTTGTACTAAATCCTCGCCTTTTCTTCTTAGGATGCATAATTCCATGCTGTTTCCATATTTTCAACATTCAGGGTTAGGTGCAAAGTCTCAAGTATAATACAATTCTCCCTTTTCCTTTACACAGTGCAGAGTATATGGGCTTAGGTTATGTAAATCCTCTTTCACTCCAGATCACTGTCTTTTTCTAAATTCATGGTGGTATTCAATGGGGTGCAGTAGTTTGGTTTGTCTGAAGGTATGTAGCCTGGCAGACACAAACACTTGTAGGAACCTTCCGTGTTAATGCACTTGGCATTCTTGCAGAGGGACATCCGGTTGTTCAACTCATCACACTCGTTGACATCTGCAATAAAACCAAGCCAAGCAGGTGAACAGCTTCAATGGCAGTCTGGGAGGAAGAGTCCCTGACAGCTTACCTGAGGCCTACACAGGGCAGGCCATTCCCTGACTTCTGCCCCAGGCCCCTCCCCGCTCAAGCTGCACAGCCTTCCCTATTCAACTATATGCTAGAGTAACAAGATTTTTAGGTCTTAAAAAGGTACATTTTCAGCGAGATTTTAGAATTTCCTTCTGTTAAGCACAATATTTCATTTATCAACTTGACATTTTACAGTCAAGCCTCAGGAGAATTAGAGGGAATATATAATTTTAAAATTTCCCTAAGTCAGCCAAAGATATGAAGAAACCCTCAACTGGTAAAGAGGAATCCTACTCAGAATCCAACAAGCAGTAAGTGGAGCCCTTAGAGAAGTATCCAGAAGCTCACAGGTACGTTACTGGGTTTCTTGCTACAGAATTCTTTAAGGCTTTACTGATTGAAGTATTCTCTGATCAGCTGTTCTCTAGAAATATCAAAGATTAAAACTATTATTAAAGTTTCTGGGATGAGAGAAACTGTATAGAGGGATCAGAAGTGCCATAAAAAATTGAAGAAAAACTTTAAAAAGCTTTGAGAGCAGTTTTGTGGGTTTTTTTTTTTTTTGCAGAAAGATATGCAGGAACAGAATCAACTGAAGAAGGTTAAGTGTATTTTCCTTTTCTTTTAAAAAAGATAAAGGAAGGCAACATGAAAGATTTTTTTTAGTAAGAATTTTACCTCAAATGAACACCAGCTCAGACATTTGAGCCTGGGACACGTTGGCCTTCCCTCTATTTTTACCAGTAGGTGGATAAATGAGTATTAGCTCTTTCTTAAATATATTCAAGTGACCACAAAGGATTGCAGGAGACTCATTTTCCACATCGTTCTTACCGACACAGGTCATCTTCGCCATGTCCAGGTGGTAGCCATCGAAGCAGTCACAGGTGTAGCCCTCCTGCACCCGCACACAGCGGCCATTCTCACAGCCGTTGAGGATGCCACACTCCTCAGCCTGTAACTCCTCAAAGCTGTTTAAATAACCTGGGAAGGAAATGACAGATGCTAAATTAAAGAATTTCAACTCTTAATATTTCAGATAAAAAAAATATTAAAGCTCTGTCATTCTTTAAATTCTGTTTGTGGCAGACTGTAGAGTGAGAACTGACCCACAGCTGACTCTCTGGCAGGTTTTCAGAGGCAGTTAATGACACAGGAGGAGATTGCCCATCCTTCCGCAGCAGAGCAGCTGGTGGCCTTGAACCACATACCTTTAGGAGTGAAGCACAGCTTCTTGCCACTAGGCCACCAGAGGTTCTGTTTAATCATATATAGTTTTGAGACCTTAAAGTCTGCTCTAAACTACCGAGAATTAAAGTATCTGTTTATCACATGGTGCTGTTACTTCCTGTGAGTAGGTTCCTCACTATGGGATGGGATCACTGTGAGCCCTAGGATTTTCAGAAGCCGATCACCAAGTCTTTCTGCTTTTTAGAGGCAAGAATGGCAAAGCTACATTTCACATACTTTGGGCATGTTGACAGGGGAGGCTAGAAAGGGTCATCATGCGGAAAGGTGGACAATCAGCAAAGGAGAGGAAGACTCTCGAGAAGCTGGACTGACACAATGACTGCAGCAATGGGCTCTAATATATTGAAGATGATAAGGATGGACAGGGCTCATAACTGTTGTTCCTAGAGTTGTTATGACAGCACCGAACAACAACAATATACCAGCTAGAGCTCCGCTGTATCACCCCAACACACAACCACCGTTCACATGGACGAAAGCTGCACAGGAGGTGTGCTGGCCAGGACGCAAACCCTACATGGAGGACAGACGTCTACTGACATTGCTGTTGCTGTGTATGTTCAGTTGGAATTGACCCACAGTTCATCCTCTGGCAGGCTTTTAGAGGCAGTTAATCAGAAGGGAGGAGACTGCCCATCTTACTCCCGCAGAGCAGCTGGTGGATTTGATCTGTGTGACTTTGGGATTGCAGTGCAGCTTCTTATCAGTAGGCCACCACACACTACTCTCATATAGCATACAACTTACAAATATCCAAAAGATCACAGATTAGCTTCACTTTTTTAAATTCCAGTGCGGTATATTACAATGGCATCATCAATGTGAGCAAGGCATAAAAGGCTTTTGTTTTGTTTTAATTACTCAAAATATTCATACACAAATTCTTAATGATCTCAGACTAGAAACTAACAGAACTGAACTAACAGGATACATGGTCAGTGTTCAGAAGGGATTTGCTCATAGTCCAATGGGATTGTGCTCTTTTGAGTTCTTAAAACCACAGCGAGTTGAGCTAGCATGGACTGTGTGCTCCTTCACTCTGGCCTTGAGGTGAGTCTTAGAAAAGGGCTTTCAGGAGATCAAAGCATCAAAGGAGTAACAGGATCCAAAACATCTTGATAATGAGATAAGTGCACCACACTTGGGTTTGTACAAGCAAACGTCTTAGGAAAAGATACTTTCGTTTTGGGCCTTTCTATAGTTTTGTTGTGGTTGTGTGCCATCAAGTGAGAAGCGACTCATAGCCGACTCTCTAGTGGGTTTTCAGAGGCTCTGCATGAGAGGTGACTGACTTCCCATCTTTCTCCTGAGGAGCCGCTTGATTTGAACCACTTGATTTAGGATTAGCAATGTAACTCTTTGCTTCTAGGCCACCAGTGTTCCCTTTTATAGTTTAGATATGTTTAAATCAAATCAGATCATTAAGTGATTCTAAAGAGTTTTTAGAGGTTTCCTAAAACATAAACAATTTGACCAGGTATCAGAACTATTTAGCTCTATTTCTAGTGAGGAAAGTTGCAAGTATAAATTGATGGCGAGTGAAACATACTAGCGTTATTGTCTCTGATTCCCTCCACATTCTACCCTCACCACATCATTAATTCTAAAGGAAAAAAAAAATTATCAGAACACAGGTAAAATTCCCCTGCATATCCATATCTGGCCTTTGAAGTAATTTTCCAGGAAACTGAAGGGGGCAGCAAAATATCACAGCACATGTGGAACCTTAAGTTCTGATTCAATGACTTAAAAAAATGAGTAGGGTTATATTCTTTTTTTATAAAGGGAAAAGGGAAATAGTATAAATCATCAAGTTTCCAAAACCGTTTGGAGATATGACTCAAGAGAACAAAGTCTTCATCTATTAAAGCCCTTCCAAATACCATGGTCCCAGAAAAGAATTTGATCTTTTAAACTAGTCAAATAATTTCCTTGTTATTATTATAGAAATTAAAATGTGAAATTTAATTTTGAAACTCCCACCTGCCAACCTCAGCTCCTTGTCCGAGTCTGGCCTCCTATCCACTTTCTGTAAACACAATATAATTGGAACACAACCACATCCAATCACATATTTATCATCTACATTTATTTCCTGTCTCAAATCTGAATTGTGGCCTAGTGGCAAAGAGACTGTGCTGCAATCCCAAAGGCTTGCCGTTCGAGGCCACCAGTTGCTCTGTGGGAGAAGGATGGGCAATCTCCTTCTGTGTGATTAACTGTCTCCGAAAACCTGCTGGAGGGTCTGCTATGGGTTGGTTCTGACCCTATGGTACACAATAACAACAATCTGAGTTGAGCAGTTGTGGTAGTAAACTACAAGGCCTAAAAGTTTTACTATCTGTCCTTTGATAGAGTGTGCCAATTCCTGCTTGAAGGGATTACAGTTTTAGAAACAGTGTTGTAATGAAAGGTAATGCAGACATCAGCTCAGTTCTCTTAAAAAAATGCGCTGGGAGAAGAGGGTGAACCACAAAGGTCTCTCCTCGATGTCACCATCTGCCCAGAAGGATGGCTTGTTTGCACAGCAGAAAACCCTGCTGCTGGTCAGGATCTGGCTCAGCAAAGGAGCCATTTCTGTGTCACATGAAGAAGTAGGAAGGTCGCTGCCCAGTCACAGCTGGAGAGCTTGGGACTGCATCTCAGCATCCTTTGTTGCTAAATAGGAAATTGATGTGACATCAACATGTTTACTTCTTAACATGTGTAGTGGATTAAAAAAAATTAAGAGCAATATCAGCATTTAAAGAAGAAAAATATGCCAGGATATTTCAACACAAACATTCCTAGAATCTGGACTTTGGAGCAAGAAAGGCTGCACACAGGAGAAATAGGATGGATGGGGAGAGGTGACTTGGTATTTTTGGATTTATGAGGAGAAGTGGGCCTTCCCAGCCTTAACATTTCTACTTTTCCCTACTTTTCTCTCTTCTCACCTTTTTTATAAAAAAATGAATGTTTACTGATAAACACTTACATGTTGTGTTGTGAACTGCTTGCTGAGTTGGAACTGATTAATAGCTGAGCTTCCAGCAGCTTTTCAGAGGCAGTAAATCAGAGGAGGAGACTGCCCTCCATATTTCTGTCATGGAGCAGTTGGTGGATTCAAACCAAGTGTCCTTAGTTTAAAACATGTACCTATGTGTGTGATGTATGTATATGTGTGTGTGTATGTATATATGTATATATACACACACACGTATATGTATACATACACATAGATAGATAGTTGTTGAGTACCACAGAGTTGGAACCGACCCATAGCTGACCCTCTGACAGGTTTTCAGAGGCAGTTAATAGCACAGGAGGAGATTGCCCATCCTTCTCCAACGGAGCAGCTGGTGGCCTAAAATTGCCTCAAAATGCCTCTGGGATTGCAGTGAAGCTTCTTGCCACTAGGCCACCAGAGTTCTGAGCGTGTGTGTGTGTGTGTGTGTGTGTGTGTGTGTGTGTGTGTGTGTGTGTGTGTGTGTGTATTTAAAAACAAACCTTAATGCCACTGCTTTGGAGTCAGATTTGACCCTATAGCTCCAGAGTCATTTACTTGGAATAATAATAAATTAAGAGCTGATCTTTCAGTGGGTTTTCAGAGGCCATAAACTGCACAGGCCGAGACTGCCCATCTTTCTCCCATGGAGCAGTTGGTGGATTTGGGCCGTCTGCCTTTGGCTTGACAGTGCACCATATACACACAGGGTTGTACATCTCAGACGAGGCACAGTTCATAAAGCTATGCTTCATGGGCTCAGTTATGTTTCATGGGTGAAAGGAAACAGTGTTGTTACTCTATGGTGATAGAAGCCAGGATAGGAGTTCTCTTTGGGGGCAGGGTACTAGGGATGGTACCAGGGGTCTTCTGGATGCTGGGAATGTTCTTGCCTTAGGCTGGAGTTACACACTCATCTCAAATGCATTGCCACAGGGTCAGAATGGACTCACAGCTGACTCACCAGCAGGTTTCTGAGGCTGGAAATTATCTGGAAGAAGACAGATCATCTTTCTTCCATGGAGCTGAAGGTTGATTTGAACCACCAGAGTGGAGTCACCTTTGGTAAGCAGCACAACTCACTATGGACCACACCACCAGTGCTCCCTACATGACAGTAACCGTTATCTAATTTCACTTCAAGTGAGTTACCACGACCCCTCACTTACCAGTGGAAGCTTGGAGAATAGTAATGGAGAATAGTAAGCACTAATGACCTAATGGGTGAAGAGTTGTGCTCCAACCCAACGAAAATTGGACACCACCAGTCTCAGGAGAAGATGGGCAGTCTCCTCCCATGCGATTTACAGCCTCAGGAAAACCCTTTGAGGGTTACCTAGCAGCTGGTTCTGACTCAATGGCAAGTAGTGTGTAAGTGATGATGAGGTCAGGTTTCAGAGGACCTTTCTAGCTATAGCATGCCAGGAAGATGGGCCTGGCCATCTGCTTCTGAAAGGTTAGCTCAGGAGCATCTACAGAGCCCAATGGTCCAATGCACTCTCCTCACAAAGATGAGGCTGTACCAGGCTGCATTTGTTTTTCTGGGTGTGAGGCAGGGGTAACTGGAAGGCAGCCAGCAAGAACGACTCTGAATAGAAGGAGCTCCCAAATGAACCCACCAAGTTCTACTAGTTCTCAGGACCAAGCCATGGTTGTTTTGTTTACAAGCATGTACAGGAGACAAGAGCCACAGAGTTAAACACTCCAATGTGCCTTATAATTCTGAAACATATCCAATGTTTTAACCGGAACTTCTTGGGCCACAAGGCTTCCTGTATTTTAAATATGGTGCGTGTCAGGAGGGCCCTCCTGTCAGATGTGGACAAGGCTCTTGGAATGTGCTCTGCCCTCTTGCTAGTTTACTACCTTCTAATAATTTCTTCTGACCTGCTCCATTTTCCAACCTCAATTAATCAGTCTGCACTTGCAGTCCGCTGTCTGCAAAGAAACAACAAGCTGCGTGCTGGCTCACTTTCTCACTAAGGACGCTCTGACCCTGTGCTTGGAGGCAACAGATTTACACACACACACCACCGCCCCTGTGCAAGTCAGATCCAGGGAAAGCTGCCACGCATCATCTTTATGCAATACATCGCTGCACAAGGGTATGCTAAAAATTAATTTCTGACAAGGAGAGCAAATTTTTTTGACCTCTCACTCTAAAAACAAAAGCAAAAAAACACTTGTAAAGATTAACTCAGTACAGTGGACATTTGTCATTTCATAGTCAGAAAAGTGGCTACAAACATCTGTGTGTTTTGTTTCTTTTTTAAAAACAAAACAAGACAAAACAACCCCCCCCAAAAAAAACACCCAATCCACCAAACTCTCAAATCAGATCAACACTTTGTGCAAAGAAATTAGTTAGTGGAATTATAATATCTTTCTTTTTACTTTAAAAATCATTTTTACTGTGTTTCTGGTGAAGATTTATACAGCAATTTAGATTCTCATTTGGCAATTTCTACATAAGTTACACAATTCAGTAACTTCTACACCATAGCATCCTTAATATTCATCATCATATGAAAACATTCTCATTTCTAGCTGGTTGTTCTGTTTCAATTAGTCCAAAACTCCCAGCCTTCTTATCTTCTCATCTTTGTTTGAACATAACAGTTAACTGTTTGGTTACACATAGGTGACATTTTCTTGATTTTTAAACAAAATAAACCATATCAGTATCCCCACAGAAACCAATAATTTAATCTAGTCATTCTCAACTTTAAGCACATAACTGATTCTCAAAGCACAGAGATGGTGGAAACCACCTTGTGTTTGTGATTCTGCAGGTCTAGGCTGAGGCCTGAAAAAATACACATTTCTGACCCAGGGACAGCATTTTGAAACCCCTTACCCCATTTAAATGACAATTTAGTTTCAAAGTAATGGAAAAGTTTTGCTTACGATCCTGAATAAAGTAGGGATCAGCTTCTGGTGCATACTGCTCACTGAAGTCAACCAAGGCATCCCGTCCGTATGGCCGCCGGTGCCCCAGAACGGGGATGTTACACAGCTGGGCATAGTCATCTAGGAAGGAAGCAACAGGCTACGTGAGACACCACCCTGGTCTTCTTAACCCCAGCCACACCCAGCCGTGACCACCACAATTGAAAGATACAGGCTGCAGAGCATAATTAAGACTTAAAAATGGAAGATTCAAATCAGTAGTATGGAACTAAACAAACGTGCCACCTGAGAGTGTTTCAGGGATTATGGAAGAATGGCACTACGCATACCTACCCGGTGCTATGAGGAACATTTGAACGTATAGTTATTGTTAAAGATATGCATCATTTCACTCATTAATGGTAAAAAGGAGTCCCTGGGTGGTGCAACTGATAGTACATGGCTGCAACACTGGAAGTTTGAGAGGCAGGAAAGGCTTAGTGATCAATTTTTTTGGAAATCCCCATGAAGCACACAGTTAAAGGTTAACTCAACGAGAACTGGCAAGCAGAACCTGAACCCTCTGGGGCGGATTCAATGCCTCCTCACAGTGGCCCGGTGACAGAGTAGAGCTGCCTCAGAGCACAGAGCAGAACTCCAGGACACTGCTCCCTCTCCTGCCCGAGTTTTGTGGTCACTATTTTAACTCTGTACTCAAGACCTTAAAATTAGCATTCCAGTAACACTGATAATGGCACAGTAATAACTGTAACAGTGTGGCATTGTTTGAAAAGATCCTCATTGTCATTGAATTGGAACTGACTCATAGCTGACCCTCCAGCAAGCTTTCAGAGGCCGTAAATTGCACATGAGGTGACTATTCCTCTGTCTCCCAGGGCTAAGCTGGTGGATCTGAGCTGCCTGCCTTTGGACTGGCAGTGCCACTCTACCCGCTAGGCCACCAGAGCAGTCATAAAATGCTCGCTCTGAGGCGGGCAACTGCTCTATAAAGCACTTAACACACTCATTCACTGACACGCTCACCAACTCCAGGTTGTATACTCAAACCACTAACATTCTACCTCCCCTCCAATAGTCTCAGCTTCTTTGGGATCCTCATCCTTATCCCCTCTACAGTCCAGCAATATTCACCTGCAGTGACCACTGTGACACGCTCACCAACTCCAGGTTGTATACTCAAACCACTAACATTCTACCTCCCCTCCAATAGTCTCAGCTTCTTTGGGATCCTCATCCTTATCCCCTCTACAGTCCAGCAATATTCACCTGCAGTGACCACTGCCACACACCTAATCCCACCAGCTTGTGTCAGCCTGGGATTCTAACTTCTAAATGCCTATTTAAGTCCTCTTTATAAGGCGTTCCCATCCCAGGCCCATGGCATCTCGGTTCTCCATTTGTCTCATGGTGACCGGACTTTCTATGCCCTTCACGGTCTCAAGTGCTTGCCTGCATTCAAGAGCAAAATGTAGAGAGGACATCTTTAGAAAAGATAGCTCCAAGTTCTGAATGTCAGTATAGCAGGAAAGAGATGGCAGCATTTGGTGAGAATCCTGGGACTCCTGAGACCTCAGCACCTCTGACAGGTCTGGGAGCTGAAGGCAGACTAACAAGCCCAGGCCTCAAAGGGCTGCCCCAACAAGGCAACAGTTACACTGGTCTCGATTGTAGATTAAGCCAGTTTGACTTTATTTCTCTGCGTGAAACATGAAACTAAAGAAATCCATTAGGGAGTGCTGGTGGCCTAGTGGCAAGAAGCTGTATTGCAATCCCAGAGACACACGGTTCAAATCCACCAGAAGCTCTGCTGGAGAAGGAGGGGCAATCTCCTCCTGTACTAGTCAGATCAGATTTGATGGTACACACACACACACACACACACACACACTAAAATAAATAAAAAAATTGAAAAAAGAAAATCATTGAGGTGGACATAAACACTTTCTCAAGGTTTTCTTTCCTCTCCTCATATTTAAAGAACTTATGAGGTGAGGGAGTGGGGCACGGGGGAGGGGGTGTGCACGTGGGTCCTGGTGCACACACTTATGGGCATGCCCTCTCACCCACAGTCGCTCCCAGAACAGCACAACATAAACTCAAGGCCAGAGAAGACTCTGAACAACTGGGTGGGGTATGGCTGGTTGTCCCTGCCTAAAATTCTCTCTGTGTAGAAGCATCAGAAGAACATTCTACAGATCCCAGAAAGTCCCAGCACTTTTCCATGAAAGTATTCCAGGACGACTATTAATTTCATTAAGGCAACAGCTGAACCTGGATTTAAAAAAGAAAAAGAGCCTTGATTAAAAAAATATAACTTCAAACAGAGAACCCAAATGGCTGTCAGTTCTGCTTTAAAGTTTGAAAAGAAGAATTATGGGTTTCCCTGAGAGAGCAGAGATTGCTGAAATGTTTACAAGTTTCCAAAGCTGAGATCATTTTTCTCTCAGGACTTTTTATATACATTTGTTGTACATCTGAAAGGGAGATTGTTCAATGGTACCCAAGCAACAATCCAGATCAAGAGTGGATGTTAAAGAGAAATGAATGTATGCATGTATTTTTGTAAAACGAAATCCAGAGGCAGCCAAGCGTGTTCTTCTGATACACGTCTGTCCCCTCGCTGAGATGCAAGGCTCTATCTAGGCTTCTACCAGGGATGCCTGGGCCTCATGCCTTAGAACCCCTTAGACCACACTTCCTTCTCAGGGCAAAGTAGATGGCTTTTTCTCTGCAAGGTCTCTCCACCAGGTAATGCAAAAAAGGAAGCCAATCACAAGCAGAGAGCAGAGGGCGGAGAGCAGTGGGTATACTGGTTCCCATCCCCGGGACGTGTTTACGAATAACTTCATGGAGAAGGAGAGCCTTCAACCAAAACTAAGGGGACGAGTAAGCTTTACTTCCCAAGACTACATATTCTATTTACTTTTTTTTAAAAGAGCTAACCCAAAGGCATGAAGGAATGACATTGATAGTTGTATCTGGAGCCTACTGAGAAGATCCTAAAGAAGGCTGTGCCCTTGCTGTGGAAGGGAGGAAGGGGAGAATGGTCGCACAAGGATTCCCAGCATCTTCTCACCTTCTTTCCTCCCCGCCACCCCCTCACCATGCAAACTTCTCCACACATTCTTTTTTTTTTTAAAAAAAACATTCTTGAACTTACTGTTTTTTTGCTGCTTCACTTTCTTTAATATGCTAATAGCCCAACGTTCAAGAGTTTGATCAGGTATCAAACACAATTTCTGCATTAACTGTGTTCTCATTTGTATGTAAAGATGTGTTACAGTCCTATCATCACCAGGACATGCATTCTGAGTTATAGTTCTGGGAACATGGCTGGTCAGCCCTGATGCAACCGTGCTGTCTCCCCCACTGTGCACATCTGCTCTGACTCTCGGCCAGGGTCAAGGGCAAAGTGAGCACATGGGAATGGAAAGAACATGGGTTCTGGAGGCAGAAGCCTGGGCTCTAATCCTGATTACGCCACTCACTTTCCAGCTTAGCCATTCCAGGCAAACCTCAGTTTCTGCGTCAGTCACACAGGGATAATAAGCCCCACTTTGCCTACCTCTGGGTTAGTGAAATCTAAGTAAGGAGAGTATGTGGCAATGCTCATAAATTGTGATGCATCGTGTAAATATACAAATAAGTCAATGCTCACTCCGGTAACCCTAAATGTTAACACAGCAGAGCTGCACTATGAGGTTTTCTTGGCTATGAATCTCATGGAAGCAGAGACACAAGCTTTTCTCTGACAGAGCCTGAGAGGCTTTTAGGTTAGAGAGGAAACTGCCTTTACCACTCAGGGAATTACTTCTTCTCATAGGTGAAATTGAAGGGAACTCTTGGTCTTCTTCAAACCCTGTCCAACTTTCAGATGCATACAAAGCGTCTGAAAATACCATGGTCTGAGTCAGATGCACCGCAACCGCAGTCTCCAAAGTGGCATTCTCATTCTTGAGCACGTTTAAGGGGTCTGTGGCAAGAGATCTGCCCAATATAATGCATCTTTTGATTTCTTTTTTTAAAAATTTTTATATTATTCTGATTTAATTACAAAGTTTGAATATGTTCTTTTTCACAAAAGAACTTTCCTATTTCCTTCAACTCATCCACCCGCTGAATTGTGCAACCCTATAATTTACACCCTTTTGATTTCTTGACTGCAGCTAGCATGGGCATTGACTTTGGTTTCAAGTAAAATGGAATCATTGCCAACTTCAGTCTTTCTTCCATTGATCAGGATGTTGACCACTGGTCCAATGGCGAAGATATCTGTTTTCCTCATGTTGAAGTGTAATCCAAATTGTAGGCTGTGGTCTTTGATATTCGTCAATAAGTGCTGTTAGTCTTTTTCCCTTTCTGGAAGCAAAATTGTGCCATCTGCATAATGTCTGTTCCTCATGAGTCTTCTTCCAGTCCTGATGCCAAATTCTTCTTCACATGGTCTAGTACTCAGCATTTTAATAATCCTCTTAGGTTAATGATCTTAGCCTATGAGAGAATCGAGTAGAATGTCTTGAGTAGCATGTAGGATTTTCAGAAGTGAGAAGTTGAATTTTTGCAGTATTTCACCACATTCCAGGGAAGCTGATGAAATAACAGAATATTCTATGGAGCTGTGAAGAAAGATGTTCCACTTAGTATCTTGGTGTGTACATGGTTCCAGAACATGCTTCATCTCTGAGCATTCCAGGTCACATTTAGAACTCATCCATTCCTGTCTGGAAGTGCTAAGTCTTGCTTATCCCTTGGCGCTAGGTACCAGCTGAGGAGGGCTAAGAAGGGTGAATGTTAAATTTTGAGGGAGAGGGTATAGATCTCAAAACAAAACAAAACATCCCTGAAGTAGCTCTGACTTTCTATATGAGTCATGCACATCTCTAGCTGATGCTTTAACTCATAAGAATGGGCCTCCTCTCTTTCACTGCTGTAGCCTTTGTCCTCCACAAGAACCCCTTGCTTGTACACAGCAACAATTAAGTACCCAGTTGTACACGGCTTGGTGTGTAGAAATAGCTATGCTTAGGAGGGCTTCTCCTTAACACTGTCTTTTATTAACAAATGCAATTATGGAGACCCCACTGAAGATGTTTGTCCAGACTCTAGCCAAATATGAGTAG